CTGTATCGGTAAAGTTGTTTCACACCAAAAACTAGAAATTCACAAATTTCATTCCTTTAGTTGAGTTAAATGTTTATATTTTTACCTCAACTCAAATGATACAGAAGTAACTTATCAACTGTTAAGCGAAAGTTTTAGAATAAATTCAAAAAATTTTATTTAAATTTTCAAGAATTAAAGTTTTTCTTGCAACTTGCTGAAATATACAAATAGTATAAGTTTAACCCCTAATATTTGCGATGATAAGTTTTATCAGGTATTTTCAAGAATGTTCTATTTATGTAAAAAAAAGGATCTTGATATTTGTATATAAATGAACATTTTTTTTCAGTTAAGTTTAATATCCTCGTACGTTTAATCTGAAGCTCCAATAAATTAATGCTACAAAATTATGAATTGTTTATTTTTCCTATATATTTTTTTCTATAAGAAATGCCCTCTCTCCAGTGGCACAGCGGTATGTCTGCAAATTTACAACGCTAGAACCGGTTTCGAAACCCATGGTGGGCAAAGCACAGATAGCCCTATAAGAAATTGTTCTTTCATTCCCAAAAAGTTACCAACACGATAATTGTCTTTAGGGATCGAAGGATTATGTAGTTACCATAACTTAAGTTTTGTCTTCTATAATTCAAATGAAATTAAAATTATAAACTTTATATTTGTTTTTGTACAATTAATCTTAAAACTAGGCTAAACTTTGTTCAAACTTTTTACAGGTTTCTGCTCTCGCAATATTTTATAAAACGGCAAAATAATTTCAATCCTAAGTTCATCAAATTGAAATAACATTTTTGTCAACTAAATAGTACTTTAGGTCTCCCTAATATACCGCTTCAAGTATAAATCGCAAGTTAATCACAAGGAATGAAACCCATCGTCATTCGCTTCTGATCCTTCAGTGGGACCGTATGGTTAAGCTGATTCACAAGTTTTATCCAGACAACGTTTAGATTCAGTTTCATTGTCACGAATCTTCCCCCGTTTTTTAGCAAAGTATTTCGAAGACCAAATTGAGCAAACAACGTTTGCTGTAATTATTATGTATTTTTGCCGTTGTTATCAAATTGTATTGCGTTAGATATGGCTCTGTGTTTATCGTTAGTGTTTTGTTAATGTACATTCACTTGAGGTAACAAATATATATCTTCTTGTTTGATAAGGAAAAGTATAATATGAATAATAGACTTCCAACAGTTCTATCAAGACTTCTTGAACCTATGTGTTTTTTAACATCATGAATATGAATAACAGAGATATAGTTATATTTTTGTGCAGCATTTCGCATTTGTATCATCAAAAACAGTGGTTCTCAACATGGGCCATATGGCTCCCAGGGGGCCACCCAATGTTTCTAAGGGACCATACGTGAATGACGGAAAATTAGGGGCCACGGTAGATTCTGAGAGGGCCACCAAAACTTTTGCTCGAACAATATATTTCAACAGCCCAAGATAGATTCAAACGTGACAAACATTATTTCTGGATAAGTAGTGAAATATCTAATACGTTTCCACAGCTCTGGGAGAAGGCAAAGTTGTATTTTATTGCTTTTCCCACATCTTATCTGGTTGAATCTGGTTTTAGTCGGGTGACTTATTTGCTATCAAAATTACGTAACCGTCTTACACACTGCAACCGGACATTCAAAAACTTTCAAGTGTTCATCAGACCCAAGGATC